CCTTGGAGAGACATTGTACATTTTGAAGAAATGACCTACAGGGGCTTTAAACTACTTGTGTTAAAGTGCAAATGGAGTGAAGCTTTACTGTCCCTGTCTATGTTGGCAAAATCAGGAACAGGGAACATGGTTTCTGCCATGGCTTTGGGAGATGATGTGGCAAAGTCGGGTCTCACCCATAGCAACCCTGTATAGGGTTTCTGAGGAGCAGCTGGTTAGCTTGAACTACCAGCCTTGTGGTTCAAACCAACTTAGTAGTCCAGTGCATTAACCTACAGCACCACACCAGGACTCCATTTAAGCATGGACCTCAGTTTTCAGAGCCATAGGAGTCCCTGAGCTATACAAATGATTAATCACTCAGCTGCTAAGCAAAAGAATGCCGGTTTGAGGGTTTGAGTTCATATAGAGGTATCTCAGAAAGGCCTAGTGATCTACTTCCAGAATATCAGCCATTGAAAACACTATGAAATACAGTTCTACTCTGACACCCATGGGGTCATCATAAGTCAGAATTGACTCAACAGAAAATGGAAACAACAACAAAAAAATGGGAAAATCTCCTAAGGTTCTTACAGGAATACATAATAAATATGCTCCTAGCTATAGCAATAAGATATAGTCAATAAACACAAATTCTTCTGGTACCTGGGGCTCCATCCATTCATTAATAAAGTAAAAGGATACTAAAAATTTTACTTCCTTCTAGCTCTAAACTTTACTTATTCTGTAACAAAAGATTACAGAAAAACCATGAAATGGGGATGACAGACCTAAAGCAAGACATTTAACCTTAGAGTCTGTTTCTTCATCTATAAAATTTAAATAATAATAGTAACATCAACCTCATGGGGCTAATATATGGACATATTGTTGGTATACAGTCAATACCATTGCTGTTGAGTCCATTTTGACTAATAGCTACCCTATAGGACAGAATAAACTGCCTCATAATATTTCCAAAGCACAGAACTGACTCAAGGGCACTTAACAACAACTGTATTTTTGTAAGCAGATTGCTTAATCTTTCTCCCAAAGAATGGGTGATGTGTTCAAACTGCCAACCGTTGTTTAGCAGCTGAGCACTTAGCACTGCACCACCAGCGCTCTTTAAGACAGTAAGCACAAACAAGGAAGGAAAGTATAATAAAGGAGCAGAAGTAGAAGAAACAGTTCTTGTGAAGGCCAACACAAGACACCATCTTGTCAGACCCATAGAGTTCTCATCTTGCTTGGCTTTTCAGCAACTTTTGATGTCCCTTATTCTCTCTCCTTCTTGAAATAACCTCATATCTTTAATTCCACAACAGAACACTCTTCTGGTTAGCTCTCTACTTCTCTAGCTGTTGGTTCTCAACTCCATTTGCCAATTTCTCTTTTTCCACCTGTTCTAAATATGGAGTTCCTCAGGGGTGGTTTTACTTCCTCCTCTCCTTTTGCTCTACCTTTGTGTTTGGTGACCTCATCTATTTCCCTGATCTTACACACACATCTATAATCAACACAAATCACTCCTCAGAAGTTCTGATGCCTGTAATCAACTGCATGATTGGATCTAAACTCAAGTCTCGATACCCTCATGTTTAAAACTGAATCTAAACATGCATACTCAAACTCAATTCTCCTACTATAGTCCCCATCTAAGTTATTGTTCAAGCCGTCACTTTCCATTCTTCCTGTGTTGGCTGTATCCGCCCCCACCATTTCACATATACATCCTATTAGATTTACTTCCAAAATCTGCTTCCATGCCATCTATTTCTCTCTACTTTCTCTGGCCTGGACTACTACACTAAACTTCTGATTGATTTCTGCTTCCCCTTTGACCCCATTAGTCAAACCAAATCATATTACTCCCTTAAGGAAAAAAAAATGAGTTTGTTCTTTGAGTAAATGTCTAATTTTTATGGACTAGAAATCTGATTTAACTCTGTCCCATCTACTTATCATAATTCTCCACCCCACTCATGAGACTTCAGACATACTAACCTCTTTCAGTTCCTTGAATATAAAACTCATTACTACCTTTAGGTCTTTGCACATGCACTCATTTCCACTTACTAGAATACACCTCCTCCATTTCCCAGACTTCACCTCTTTCACAGAGTCTCCAGTTCAAGTTAACTGTCCTCAACATTCTCACTTAAAATTGCCTATCACTTACCACAATTTGTAATTGCATAGGAGCCCAGCAACTCTTCTGTCTCCATACTAGACTACACAACTGTGTATCTCCCATTACATCCCCAGTATTCACCACTGTAAGGAGCTCTGGTAGTGTAGTGGTTACGAATTGGGCTGCGAACTGCAAGGTCAGCAGTTCGAAACTACCAGCCGTTCCACGGGAGAAAGATGAGGCTTTCTGCTCCTGTAAAAATTTACAGCCTCGGAAGCCCTGTTCAGGGTCACTATGGGTCGGAACCGACTCGACGGCATTTAACAACAACAACAACAACATTCACCACTGTATTCCCAGTACTTAGCCTAGTAAGTATACAGTATTAAGTGCTCAAAATTGAATGAATGAATAAATGCATGAACGCTGCTAAGGTGTTGCTGTTGTTAGGTGCTATCCTATGCACAACAAATGAAATACTACCTAGTCCTACACTATCAACCTAACAGTTGCTAGTTTGAGCCCATTGTTGCTGCCACTGTGTCAATGCATTTTGCTGGGTATCTTCTTCTTTTTCACTGATCCTCCACTTTACCAAGCATGATCATCTTCTCCAGGGACTAGTCCCTCCTGATAAACTGTCTGATGTATGAGAGATGAAGTCATGCCATTCTCACGTCTAAGGAAAATTCTTTATCAAATGAAGATCAAAGATTACAACCTTCAGTATAGATTGTACCTCAATATAAAGAAAACAAAACACTCACAACCAGAACAATAATAACATCATGATAAATGGAGACAAGTTTGAAGATATCAAATTCTTTATTTTACTTCGATCCACAATCAACACTCAAGGAAGCAGCAGTCAAGAAAGCAAACAATGTGTTTCATTGGGGAAATCTGCTGCAAAAGAACGCTTTAAAGTGTTAAATGACAGAGATACTAATGTGAAGACAATGGTCTAAGGTGTGCCTAACTAAAACATTGTTTCATATATATGTGACAGGGAAAAAAATGAGACTTTTTCTGCTCCCACAAAGATTTAAAGCCTCAGAAATAGTAAACAAGATCACTATGAATCAGAACTGACTGGAGGACACTGTTGTTGTTGTGAGGTGCTGTCCAATTGATTCCATTCCATAGTGACCATATGCACAACAGAACAAAACACGGACCAGTCCTGCACTAATCTCACAATTGTTGTCATACTTGAGCCTATCACTGCTGCCACTGTGCTAATCCATGTAATTGGTGGTCTCTCTTTCACTGATGCTCCACTTTACCAAGCATGATGTCCTTCTCCAGGGATCGGTCCTGCCGAACAACATGTCCGAAGTATGAGTGACAAGTCTGGCCATCCTGATTTCTAAGGAGCATTCTGGTTGTACTTATTACAAAACAGATTATTTTGTTCTTCTGGCAGTTCATGATACTTTAATATTCTTCTCCAACACTATAACTCAAATGCATCAATTCTTCTAAGGTGTTCCTTATTTATTGTTCAACTTTCAAATGCATATGAGGCTGTTAAAAATACAATGGCTTGGGTCAGGTGCACCTTAGTCCTCAACTTGATATCTTTGCTCTTGAACACTTCAAAGATGTCTGATGTAGCATATTTGCTTAGTTCAATATGTTGTTTGAATTCTTGACTACTGCTTATATGAGTGTTGATGGATGATCTAAACAGATTGTAGTCTTTGACAACTTCAATCTTTTCTTCATTTATCATGATGTTATTTCTTGGTCCAGTGATGAGGATTTTTGTTTTCTTTACATTGAGGTGAAACATTTAGTGAAGACTGTGGTCTTTTATCTTCATCAGTAAGTATTTTAAGTCCTCTTCCATTTCAACAAGCAAGGCTCATCATATCACAGGCTGTTAATTAATCTTGCTCTAATCCTGATGCCATGCTCTTCTTCTTATAACCCAGCTTCTCAGATTATTGATCAGTGTACAGATTGAATAAGTATGATGAAAGAATACAACCCTGGCACACATCCTTTCTGATTTTAAATCATTCAGTGTTCCTTTGTTCTATTAAAATGACTATCTCCTTGTTACTAATGAGCACAATTAAGCGTTCCGGATTACTCATTTTCTGTAATGTTGTCCATAGCTAGTTATGATTCACACAGTCAAAATCCTTTGTGTAATCAGTAAACCACAGGTAAATATCTTTCTGGTATTCTCTGCTTTCAGCCAAGATCCATCTGACATCAGCAATGATGTGCCTCATTCCATGTGCTCCTGTGAATCTGGCTTGAATCTCTGGCAGTTCCCTGTAAGTGCACCGTCGTTGCAAGCCGTTTTTGCACTATCTTCAGCAAAATTTTACTTGCATGTGATATTAATGATATTATCCAATGATTTTTGCATTCTGTTGGGTCACCTTTCATTAGAATGGGCACGAATAGCAATTTCTTCCAATCAGTTGGCCAGGTAGTCTTCCAAATTTATTGGTATAGATGAGTGAGTGCCTCCAGTTCTGCATCAGTTTGTTGAAAGATTTCAATTTGTATTCCATCAATTCCTGGTGCCTTGTTCTTTGCCAGTGTCTTCAATGCACCTTGGACTTCTTCCTTCAGTATCATTGGCTCTTTATCATATGCTACCTCTTGAAATGTTTGAACATTAACCATTTCTTTTTGGTACAGTGACTGTATTCCTTCCATCTTCTTTCTTTTCTTTTCTTTTTTTTTTTTTCTGTGAAAGGAAGCTTTATTGTTTTCATTTGGTCCATGCTTGGGAGAAGAGGGGCTGCAGGGTGTTGACTATGTTACCTCTGTGTCTGGAGAGCAAGGTTCAGGCAGAAGGTCAGTGGAGAGCAGGGGAAGGCTGAAAGGCCCTTCACAGGTTGTGGGGCTCCACAGGCTCTTCCTAGTTGTGCTTGAGAGTGCACCTCTTGAAGAGGTATCTGCCCAGCCCTGCCTGGGGACTGGCCATCCTACAGAGGTTGGTCAAGTGGTGGTCCTTCTTCTTGATAATTTTCACCTCCTTGTCGAGGAAATGGTTCTCCAGAAAGTCATAGAGGTGGGTGTCTGTGTGAGTAGCACCCACAGCAAGCAGATACAGAAGAGACTGGTTCAGGTTCTTCTCCAGGGCCAGGGTGGCTTCCATGGCATCCAGGGTTCTTCCCCACTCATCTTGGGAGGGCTTCTGCAAGTCCTGAAAGAGTATGCGACTACCACACTGGTTTTCATTACCCTCATGTTTCTCCTTCGCCAACTCATGGAATAAGTGCCCTAAACCTTCCAAAGCCACATCACCGTGATCAAAATAGAAGCCCAGAGAGAGGCAGGTGTAAGAGGCCCACAGATGCAGATAAACCAGACGGGTGACACGGCCTCCTCCTCTTCAGCGGAATAATTCTGATGAATCTGAGAGCTCATGGTTGGTTGAAGATTTGGAGTTGATCATACATGCAAAAAAAAATGGTGTTTAGCTGGTCCTTGTAACAGGGAATGGTCAAGAGTTGGTCCCAGAGAAGAGATTACACCTAAAGAAGTTGTTAGAGGTGGTCCAAGGCTGCAGGTGGGAGAGTCCCCAGATCTGTTCTGTCCAAACACTGCTGAAGCAACACACAGATCCACGGGACCACAGTGCAAACTTCCTTCCACCTTCTTTTGATGCTTTCTGCATCATTCAATATTTTGTCCACAGAAACCATTACTGTTTCAATTTGAGGTATGAATTTTTTCTTCAGTTTGTTAGCTTGAAAAATACCGAGAGTGTTCTTCCTTATTGATTTCTAATTCCAGGTCTTGACAAATTTCATTATAATATTTTACCTTGTCTTATCAAGCTGCCTTTTGAAATTTTCTATTTATTCTTTTACTTCCTCATTTCTCCCATTTGTTTTAGCATCTCTATGTTGGAGAACAAGTTTTAGAGTCTCTTCTGACATTCATTTTGGTTTTTTCCTTCTTTATTGTCTTCTTAATGACCTTTTGCTTTATGCTTGTATGATTTTATTGATGTCATCCAGAACTCTTCTGGTCTTCAGTCATTAGTGTCTACTGCATCATATCTGTTCTTGAGATGATCTCTAAATTCAGGTGAGATATGTTCAACATCATAATTTGTCTCTCATGAACTTGTTTTCATTTTCTTCAACTTCAGCCTGAACCTGCATACAGGCAACTGATGGTCTGTTCCACAATCTAGCCTTAGCCTTGTTTTGGGTGATGATACGGAGCTTTCCACCATCTCTTTCCACAGATATAATCAATTTGATGCATTTATATTCCATCTGGTGAGGTCCATGTGTATAGTTGTCTAGGATATTGATGTTTATACATTTCGTTTCATTTTTCACAACTTCCAATTTTCCTAAACCATATTTTATACATTCTATGTTATAAACATTAATGGTTGTTTGCAGCTGTTTCTCCTCATTTTGAGTTATGCCCCATCATCAACTGTAGGTCCTTAAAGCTTTACTCTAGTCTCATCCTCACAGTTAACTATACTTTGAAGAGGCAGGTCTTCCCTAGTCATATTTTGAGTGCCTTCCAACCTGAGGTGCTCATTTTCCAGCACTATGTTTGACAATATTCTGGTGCAATTCATAATTATTCAGTATTCAATATTCTGGTGCTGACAGTGTTCCAATGCTATTCATAAGTTTTGTAGTGGCTAAATATTTGGAAGTAAACCATCTCTCCTTCTTCCTAGTGTGTCTTAGTCTGTAAATTTAGCTAAACCTGTCTACCATGGTGACCCTGCTGGTATTCAAAATACCAGTGGTATGGCTTCCAACATCACAGCAACACACAAGCCACCACAGCAAGACAAGCTGACAGACAAGTGGTGGTCAAGGGCACTAAATAACAAAAAATATACATAGGAAAGTTGGACAATGAATAAGGCAGACAATAGAAGAATTGATGTATTTGATTTATGGTGTTGGAGAAAATATAAAAAGTATCAATGACAGCCAGAAAAACAAACAAATCTGTGTTGGTAGACAAAGAGTCCTAGTGTTCCTTGGAACCCAGAATGGTGAAATTTCAGCTCTCATATCATATTTGGAACATATACCAATAAGGACCAGACTTCTGGTGTGCAATTATAGGATAAACACTGGAATACTAACTCCAAGATTGGCTGTTCAAACCCATGAGCTCCTCTTTGGAAACCCTATATAGGGTTGCTATGAGTTGGAACTGACCTGATGGCACTTAACAACAGCAACAACATCAGGAGAGACAGGCTCCTAGAGAGGCATATCATACTTGGTAAGGTGGAGGGTTGGCAAAAAATAGAGGAAGATTCCCAACAAAATGGACTGACACAGTGGAAGCAGCAGTGGGCTGAAATGTAACAACAGTTGTGAGGAGGGCGTAGGCCTGTTTCATTCTGTTGTGCACAGGGTCACTATGAGGAACCGACTGGAAGGCACCTAACAGCAACAACAAGGAGCATTTTGGCTGAACTTTTTCCAAGACAGACTGGTTTGTTCTTCTGGCAGTTCATGGTATTTTTAGTATTCTTCCCAATATCATAATTCAAGTACATTTATTCTTCTATTGTCTCCTTTATTCATTGTCCAACTTTCACATGCATGTGAGGTGACTGAAAATACCATGGCTTGTGTCAGGTCACCTTAGTTCTCAAATTGATATTTTTTTTTTTTTCTTTTAAGAGGTATTTTGCAGCAGATTTGCCTAATACAATACTTTATTTGATTTTTTGTTTGCTGTTTCCATAAGTGTTGCTTATGAATCCAAGCAAATGAAGTGCTTGACAACTTCTCTCCACTAGTCATAATGTTATTTATTGGCACTGTTGTGAGGAATTTTGTTTTCTTTACATTGAGGATAACCCATACTGAAAGCTGTAGTCTTTGATCTTCATCAGTATGTATTTCAAGTACTCTGCTTCCAGCAAGGGAGATTGTGTCTCCTGCATATTTTCGGTTGTTAATGAGTCTCCTTCTAATCTTGATGTCACTTTCTTCTTCATATAATCCAGCTTCTTGGATTATTTGCTCAGTATGCTAGTAAGGTAGGGTCTTTAAAGAGCCATAGGACTCAGGACTGAGGATGAGTTAGGTAGCCCTTGGACAAAATACATGGGAAAGGAAGTTACAGAGTGAAGGAAGACTAAGCAAAGGAGAAGGGAAGCCAATGAGACAGGTAAGTGGGGAACAAACAGGGTCAAATTTAGTTGCCAACCAGAAAAGGGGTTCAAGAAAGGGCTAAAAGGGTGGGAAACCCCATCAGAAGGGCAAGCAGTCAGACTATATGCTTGTGAGAACTGGATGGTGCCTGGTTAGAGAACAGATGATGGAACATAAACTTCTGTCCTAAGTGACCCCCAATGTGAAACCATAGCTTAGGGAAAAACTGAATGGAAAGACCTTTCCAGGGAATGGACAAAGTCAAGGGGCAGCAGACACAGAGATGCATCCCAGGATCTTGAGTTCACCTTCTGGTTCATTTACTTGACTTGTCCTCAAAGATCTTTGATTGCTTGCAGGATGCTCTAGGCTTCTCTCTGGGAAGATAGTCCTGAAGGTATCTGTAGCCATTAATCTCTCTTCCAGGCTTTTTACTGCATGAGCATATAGGTTCTATGCTCCAAGTTCTTAATGTCCTACCTCATCTACTTTTCCTGCTTAGGTCTAGGACTCAAGTCCTCATGACTTACTCCACCCTCCTACCACTGCAGCCCACTTGTTATTTTCTGTACATGCTCTGGTGGTCCCAGACTCCAGTCCTTTGCATGAGTAATTTCCAATTCTTAAGTGGTATCTGTTTGTCTGCCTTTTTCTGATAAAGCCTTTGTATCCTCCAAGCCCAGCTCAAATCCTAAATTATCTTCAAAATCTTCCTAAATCCCTCTCATTCTGTATATTTGTCCCTCTGTTATGATGAAAATTCACATCTTCCATGAATGAGTATTAAATATGATTGTCAGTCTTCCTCACTAATCTGGGAGTTGTTGATAGGGCTGGAGGCTTATTTGGCTTGTCTTTGATCCCCCACAGCATCTAACACAGAGCTATTGCCTATATCAAGTCTCCATTTGGTTGTTTTCTGAAGAGACATATGTGTTAAGTTCATTGTGTATCCAGGGTACTGAGGAGGGGCTATATGAGAGCTACAGATACAGAAATATAGCTGTCCAAAGCCAGGAAACATGTACATAAACCCAGACACCAGTACAAAGGATAAAAATAAGAGAGAGAAATGAGTCAGTCTATTAATGAGGAATTCTGAGAAACAACCAATAAGGATAGAAGGAGAAGGGATGAACAGAAGAGGGAAAAGGAAAAGAGAATGCCTTCTTGCAAACTTCTCCTCTGTGGTTGGCCTGGCAAGACATGGAGGTCTGGTCTTACCATTAACAAGACATAGAAAAAGCAGAAAGAGCCTCTAGCTGCTGATGACAAGGTGAAGGTGACTACAGGACAAACCCTGGCACCCACCAAGGCCCCTTCCCTTCCACGCAAGCTCTGACTGCTGCAGCTTGACTCTCCTAATGGGGAATTTAATGAGACTTTCAGTAAATGGATCCTGAATTCTCTCTCTACCCCAAGTAATTATAAAGCTCAGCAATTTTTTTCCCCTAACTTGCTGCTGATTTTCTAATTACTCTTGCTCCAAATAGGACAGTTAGCATTAAAATGAAACCATGCTGGGGTTGTGGGTTCACTCACATCTGCTTTGCTTATTTCCTTAATTTGACAGCATGGCTTTATGGACAGAGAGCATCAGGTGATTCACAGATTTTATGAGACCTGCACCCCAAAACACAGGATACTCTCACTGGCATCAATGTAAAACTCCCTTGTAAAAAAAATCTGGTCAAGACATACCCACTAAATAGAGTCTCTTAGGAGGGTTACAACAACCTTCTTTGAGAAAGGATCCAGAGAGAGAATTTTCCTTTACTTCTTCCCAAGTATGGAAGGAGAAAGACCCTAACAACTTGAGATAAATTTCTGAACATGAGGTAGATTCCTTTCATAAAAGGGAATACAGTAAATCTGGGATGAAGGTATAGAGGATGGTAAGTGGAGAAAGGAAAAGAAATTCAGCTAAACGGAATAAATTGGCAGCAGCCATGGAGCAGAGATGGTTTTAAAAGATGCCTGAGTTGTTGCAGACAATGTTAGCATTTCTGTGTGAACATATTTAGCAACATCTCACAGACAAGTCCTCACCTTCAAGTTAAATTCCCCCAAAGTTAGCTTCTTTCACCTGAGAAATAGGTATTTTCTTCTTACAATTGCAAAATTCCATGACCTCATTTGAGGTAGCAAGATAAACTTTCTGAGGAGATGTGACTAAAGGAACCAGCAACATTTAATCAGAAAGGAATCCTCACTGTAAATTTCTCAGTCCACACACCCAATTTTTAAAAATCTTGTGACAAGTCAAAC